TATTCCGACCACTTTTGGAAATATAATAATGTACTTTTTATGAACTCTGAGTATATGAAATGGATTAAGTATTGTAACTCGCTCTCATTATTGGATCCTTGAAAAATGTGGATCTTTCGGGTTCTCCTTTGGGTGTGTTCCCGATTTAATCTTGCCTGCAGTAGCTTGCTTTTGGGGTGCTTAGTGTGGGGGAAGATGAACGCCCCGTAAGTGTGCTATTTTCTGCGGTTCTACCACGCCACTCCTCTGAGCTGAGTCCGGTCAATTTCACTTAGTCGCCACCTCGGGTCCAAATATTGACGCGTCCAGAGCTACACCGGACACGCTCGGTCACTCTTCGCCGACTACCCAAGTCTGGATAATATACCGCATATGCCCAGATCCACATCGGATATGTCCGGTCACTCTACAGTGACTGGCCGCGACTAACTCCTTTTCTTCATCAACTTCTTCTTTGCAAATGTGCCAACACCACAAAGTGTACACCACTATGTGTATATGTGTTAGCTTTTCACAAACATTTTCGAAAGGATTAGCCTCTCAACTTGCCACGCCACTCGATCCTAGCGATGATGCAAAGTTAGATCACTCGAGTGGCACTAGATGACCGATATGCAAACAAGTTTGCCCCTCTTGATAGTACGGCCATCTATCCTAAATCCGGTCATAAACTTCTCTACATACCTATGATCGGTAAAATGAAATACCCTAGGTTATACCTTTGCCTTGCGTATTCCATTCCATCTTCTCCAATGTTGATGCAACACATGCACCAACATGATCAACAATGATATGATCCACTTCATATCATCACGTGATCATATTGGTTCATCGATCTTGCCTTCACATGCATTTCACCGCTGTTTTCGGTCCATCGGCGCCAAGTCTTGCTCAAGCTTCACCGCCACATGGTCCATCGCCCAAAGCCTCCGGACTTGTCCTTCACGCTTTAAATCGTCCATCAAGCCAAGTCTTGTCTTGATCTTTCTCCACCTTGATCACATGACTCAATGTCATGTCTCATGTGCAATGAGCTCCTTCATCATCACATGTATGAGCTTTGCAACATCTCCGAGCCTTTTCAACCTTTATGGCATATGTTGCTCATACACATGTACTTATGGACTAATCACCTGTGTATCTCACATAAACACAATTAGTCCACCTAAGGTTGTCACTCAATTACTAAAACCACACAAGGACCTTTCACGTGCTTCGCCCCTTCCTATGCAGTGTTCGTCTTTGGTGTTCTTCGACGACATCCTCATTTTTAGCTCTTCGTGGGTAGAACACTTGCAAAGACATCCGCATCATCCTCGATGCGTTCACGAGGCATCAGTTCCACCTCAAGCGCTCTAAATGCTCATTTGGGGCCTCCTCGATGGCGACTCGTCCATGTGTTTTCAGCCAAGCAGGTCGCCATGGACGGCCGACAAGGTGGCCTCGTGGCGTCGTGGCCAACCCCACGGTCCGCCCATGGCCTACGTGGCTTCTCGGGCCTCACCAGGCTACTATTGGAAGTACATCCACGACTTTACGTCATCATAGCCCTCGCCGACACGCCTCAAGCACAAGAATGCGTTCGCTTGGTCCGATGAGGCGGACACTGCCCGTGACGCTCAAGCGGGCTTTGTCTATGTGCCCCGTGACTCGGATGCCCGACTTTCGCAGCGCTTCACCGTGGATCGTGATGCGCCAGCGCTGGTTCGGCGTGGTTCTCCACCAGACGCCGAACCGCCGCTTTTTCAGACCGGTTGCTTCACTCGCGACGTCATCTCAAGCTCGCGCTTATGAACGTGAGTTGATCGGGCTCGTTTAGGCCGGCCCGCCATTGGTGGCCATACCGTAGGGCGCACTTTTGGGTCCGGACGGATCATTACAGCCTTCAAGTTTTGCTGACCAACACCTTCCACCGTGCCACAAAGCACCAATGGATCGTAAGTTGTTTGGGTTCGACTTCACCATGGAATATCGCCGGACGGCTTAACACTATGGCGGATGCTCGGGCCCCGCCATGACGTCGCCGAGGACGGTGCTTCTTCAGGCGATCGCGGTACTTGCCGCCCACGCCGACATTCGCCTCGACGACGACATCCACGTGGCTACGTGGCAGCCTGGGACGCCAGGCTTCTCCTTCGGCGCCTCTAGGAAGGCGCTGGCTAGCCGCACTACGGGCGCGTCGGCGATGATCTCCTGCCCATGGTGCTCGCATATTCGCAAGCAAATATGATGACTCTGCGCCACCAGTGTGCTCCTCACAGCTCACTCGGCGAGCCACGAGGAGTCCAGAAGACGCCCATCGCCCTGCGCTTGGACTTCTACATCCTCGGCGACCGCGCTTCTTGTCAAAGACTTTGTGCGGCGCGTGCGCCGTGTCACGCCGGAACAAGACGGAGTCCTGGCACCCGCGGATTATTGCAGCCCCTCGATGTTACGCCCCCAGTTTTGGGCGGACATCTCGATGGATTTTATCGAGGGCCTGCCAAGGTCGGCGACAAATCCGTCATTCTCACGGTGGTCGGCGATTCTCCAAGTACGCCGCACTTCATCGCCTCGGCCATCCCTACTCACGCCCTGCTGTAATGCGTGCATTCTTCGGACGACATTGTTCGCTTGTATCCATCGCCGCCGATAGGTGGACCTCGTTTTCACCGGTCATGTGTGGCGTGACCTCTTCAAGATGGCCGCATCACGCTCCGCATGAGCATGGCCTTCCACCCACGGATAGACGTATTAGTTTGAGGTGGTCAATAAGGTCATCGTAATGTATCTTCGGTTGTATCACAGGTGACCGCCGCGCGGCGTGGATCGGGTCGCCCCAGGCGAGTATCGCTACAATACCTCCTTCCACACGGCATCGCACGCCACACCTTTTGAGGTGGTTCACGGCCGCCATCCTCGCCATCTTGTCCCTACACGGCCGGGTCAGCCAATGAACGACACTGTGGATCTACCTTCTTCGAGCGCGACGAGGTGCTCACGAGAGATTCGGAAAGGCTTCTCAACCACAAAGCCTGTCCAAGAAATACTACGACGCCGTCCCCACCGCGCCGTGAGTTTGTCGTCGGGATTGGGTATGGTTGCGCCGCTCCACCGCATCGCCATTTCCCTCGAGCCTCGCACCAAAGGGAAGCTTGGCCCTCACGCCGATCCGCTCCAAGTGCCGGAGCACATCGGCCAGTGGCATACCGCCTCCGCCTTTCGAGGGGGTGCCCGCTCAGATAATGTCTTCCATGTGGGGCTGCTGGCCCCACAAAGGTGATCCCCAACAAGGCTCTTCCTCCGCCGCCGACATCGGATGGTCGGTTGTTGCCAGCTCTACGAGCGCGCTTTCAGCACACAACTTTGGCGAGATGTGTGGCATGTGCTTGTCAAATGACGTGGCTCGCCGGATGGAGGACGCAACATGGGAGCCTCTCCAAAGATCTTCGCGGCGTCTACCCCGACTTCCAAATTTCGAGGACGATCTGCTTATGCGCCAGCGAGAGAGAGATGTTATGACCGGCATCCCTATGCGGCGCAGCCCAATAGTGGCTAGCTAGGGGCTCAGCATAAGGGGCTTAGAGGCCCAATTTATCGCTTATTTGGTATTTTCTTATAGATAAATATAGTTACTTAATTATAGCATCTATAGGGAATGATAAATATTTGTAATATGAGATGATTGGAAGATAAGAAAGGCAAACATTATTTGCCTCGGCCTCAAGGGCCAAGGGCTGCATACGTGACTTTCTTGCCTCCTGCCTCCTCTCACGCACAGCCCTAGGGCAGCAGCAGCAGCAACCGTCACCTCTTCCTCTCCGCCATGGCACCACCACTGTCACGCCGAGATATCAGACCTCGCCTCCCTCTTCCATCCCTACAACCTCCGCAGCAACTCCGGTGAGACCTCACGTCCCCATCAGTCCACGCTCCTGAATTTTGTGCCTTCTTCTTCCAACTTATTTTGCTGAGCTATCAAGGTAGGCAGAATCTTAATTTGTTTCCTTTTTTTTCCCTAGAGTTATATGTACCCCATTTTCCTCTTTGAGACTATCCAAGAATGTCACTTCACCATTATTAAGAAGGAAATAGCAGGGAGTTTGAAAACAACCAAAGCTAACTAACCAAGAAGATACCCTTAACTTGTATGATTCTACAAGGACATTAGCAAACAATTTTGGTTCTTCTTCTTGAAATCAGTGAACATGTTGTCTTATGTGATTAGAATTTCATTAGACGATACCAATCGCCAAAGTTACAGCAGATGTCACTGCTTACTGCATTGTCTTCTTGGACAAGCATGGTCACACAATCCCGTTCCTTCGTTGTCTCTACTATTGGTCTTTCTTGGTGAGGCTAAACTTCTTTAGTCGTCGTCATTGTTGCTTGCTAGATTCTTTTATATAATACATGTAGTATATTACTGCATATTCATGGTGTGAGCAGTGCAGTCGACCTTGCTGTCTTTGAATCCTAATTGACTATGATTGTTTGGGTTAAATATATATATGTTCTGCCTTGATGTGTGTGTACAGAGGATTCTGTCGTTCTTCGTAAGACTTTGTCTCATCGGTTGTTGTTGACTTGAAGCCACCCATTTCATTAATCCCTGATAGCTAGCATAACCTTTTCTTGACTTCCGAACCCATAAGTTGCTTGATGCATTGGATTCCCTGCAAGTGACTATTACTTACGGATTATCATTTATCAATGTCTATGTGAAGTGTATATAAAGACTGTTCCCTTTGCAATTGCCTGGTGCTGCTGATCTAGCAACTACGGGGCTTCTTGAAGTATGTATATGAACATTGTCTCCTCTTTTTTTTCTTCTGAATTTGTATGAACAGGAAGCAGAGGTATGTTGTTACTCTGGTGCTTTGATTTCATTGCAAATGGGCTATTATGGCAGGAAGGTGCTCAATCTAGGTGTTTCTTTGTAGCCAGGAGAATCTGATTATCTCCCAGCGAACAAAAACAAACCCTTAGGCTATTCGACGGTCTTTTAGAGAAAGATCAGCATGGGTTCTTATGCTAATGGCAGCACCTGTGGAGATGATGATCCTCCATCAGTGGAGGAGCTGAAAGAACCAGCTTTTCCTCTTAAAACAATGCCACTGCATGCTAATGGCTGGTTGAATGACATGAAGATATCCTCGCCTACTGCTATCCGAGTGAACATTGGTAACAATGTTGCTTTTGATCCCATCTACCGAGCTTGGACTGTGAGTCCACATCTTACTTATCAATACCTCGTAGCTGTAGCCTTGAAACTGTAAGAGTTGGTACTAATAGCCAATTTCTTGTCATTTACAGAAGAAGTATCCTTCAGCTCTAAACGCATTTGAAAAAATTGTTGCCTATGGCAAAGGCAAGAAGATGGCGCTGTTCTTGGATTATGATGGAACCCTCTCGCCAATTGTTGATGAACCTGACCACGCTGTCATGTCTGATCAGGTAATTGCATTGCAGCATCAATATCTTAATTAAAGAGTTCCCTTCTCTCAGTTGAATTTTACAGATGCGGGAGGTGGTGAGGAGTGCTGCACTGCATCTTCCCACTGCGATTATCAGTGGAAGGTCTTGTGATAAGGTGAATACATTATAGATTATCCTTCCCCGTGGATTATATTTTATACCTAAACTTATCTCTTCCTGGGCTTTAATTTAACTCCTTTGAAACTATTTTAGGTGTTTGATTTTGTAAAACTCACCGAACTATACTATGCTGGTAGCCATGGAATGGATATCATGGGTCCAGTGGGAAAAGCTGGTTCTACCACTGACCATAGAAGCAGCACTAACTCCAGTAAGAAGCAGGTGTGAAAATGCTTCAGCAATTAAGCCAACTAGTTATGATGCATTTTCAATCTTTAGCTTGTTCAGTGCAAAGAACATTGTATATTTCTTCAATTTGAAGTTTCTTTTTCTCTCATTACTGTTTTTGGTAGAACAAGGAGATGAAGATCTTTCAGGCTGCTAGCGAATTCTTACCAATGATTGACGAGGTAAAAAAAAAAATTCAGGCTTCACAACTCCATATACTGAGATTAAGGTATTCAATGCAGCACCGTGTGATGCAGGTCTTTTAGATTGCTCGTTGATAAGGTCAGGGGAATTGATGGCACGAAAGTTGAAAAACAACAAATTCTGCGTCTCGGTGCACTACCGCAATGTCAATGAGAAGGTGAAAATTTAATTTACTAAAAATGATTTGGAAGGGCGAACCACTCAGTCACATTCACAGGTTTCCTGCTTCTGATGATTCATTTGTTTTTCAGGACTGGCCACTCGTTGCACGGTGCACAGACGACGTCCTGAAAGCCTACCCTCGCCTCCGACTGAGTCATGGACGAAAGGTACACCCCGTAAAATGCAAACTCTGACAATTTGTGCCCTTTTTTTTGACGGCAAAGACTGTGGGGAGATCCCCACAGTGATAGATTTTGTATTAATAAAGGTAGAACGTACTTTACAAACATGGATTAAGTAAAAGCATCCAGCCAAACACAAAAGGATGACCGTAGGGTCATCCTTGAAACGAACAAACTGTAAGAAACATTGATTTTAAAGTTTGCCAACCAGGCCGATGGAGTTGGATCACGCCTCTGAAAACCTTGTCATTGCAGCATCTTCCACAACTCCCATGCTATTATCAGGGCTGCCTCCGTGAAGAAAGGAACATTGTGAACCTGTCCCGCCTGTACCAATCTATCTGAAAGTTGCAGCGTGTCATTCCAGTCAAAATGGATGATTGCCCAACATTCCTTCTAAAAGGCAGTCAAAGAATAAGTGATCAATGGTCTCCTCTTCACCATGGTTTACACATGACACAGATGTTATCTTCCTGTATGTTCAGATGTCGCTCTGGAGCATAGACTTGGTATTCAAACGGTCCATTAGGACAAGCCACATAAAGAATTTCATGCGTGGAGTGCATCTAGATTTTCAGATGGCTTTTGAAGATTGGATGTGCTTCCATGGTACTGAAGACATGAGAGTAGAAACGCCGTGAAGTATACACATTGCCCCTAGGTGGGCAGCCAGCAATCCTTGGCATCAGCATCGTATGGCAGGTTCTGTAGGTGCAGTTGCAGGACTTCATATTCCTCAAAAGCTTGCTGCGAGTGAGGAGGAAAAAGTTCATCAAGGTCTGTTGCTTTGCATGACCTCCAGCACTGAGGCATTCTCATTACTTTGCAAAGGATGCCAACCTTTGAAACTCTTGGGATAGAACGGCATCAGGCCACATATCATCCCAGAAAACAGATCGGTCAGACCATCCCCAATCTCACACTGGCAATGCCTCGGAAGATGATGCTGAGACGAAGAACATCCTTCCACTAGAAGGAGCCAACTTCCCTAGATGCATGGGGCTACTTTGGTGGGTATAATATTTGCTCCACACAAGGTGCACCCATGGGTGTCAACTTTGTCATAGAATTTGAAGAGATGTTTGAGTAGTAGAGCATCATTTTGCAATCTGAGGTTAAGAACTCCCAGTCCCCACTTTCTCCTTGGGCTGCATAACAACTTCCATGCAACTAAATTCCCCTTTCTTTTGGGCATCATTACTCTCTCAAAGGCATTGCTTCCGGTGCTCAATCGATGTTGTCAATTACTACCCTTTGGTAGCTTGATGGTACACATAGCATATGTGGTGATGGGGGTTATAGCCAAGTTAACCATTTCCAAGCCAATTCGAGTAAGAAAGCCATGTGGAGCACGCAGAGCCTCCTCTCTATTCTGTCCATCATCTGGGTGAAGTCCTCAATGTGTGGCTTGAGTCGTGCCTGTGGGCAAACCCAATACGTGAACGGCATAGAACCAATATCACAGCCCAATGTGTTTGCCAGATGGGTCATCTTTCCTCATTGACGTTGATGGAGTACATATGTGATTTACTGTAGTTAACTTTTAAGCGGTTGACTCCGAAAAGCTGTGCAATAAAGCCTTAAGAAAGATCAGCTGTCTAGCATCGGCTTGCAACATCATCAGCGTACTGAACTATTGAAAATCCTCAGTTGGTTGTGGAATTGAACTCAGAGCAATTCATAGCAGCAGCCCAGTTGATTGGGAAAATCTGCAGAGAGGTTCAGCCACTATAACAAAGAGGAGGGGACCCTCTCTGCACTTGAAAATTTTTCCTGGGACGCCATTGAGTAGGACAGCAGATGAACCTGAAGAAAAATGGCTTGAACCCAATCCTGTGAGCCATAACTTGTATAATAGCTGAATGTTCCACTGTATTAAACGCTTTCTCAAAGTCTAATTTTAGGATGATGATCTCTCTTTCGACTGACGGCACTGGTGAATGTACTCATTACTCATACTAAGCAGTCTTGAATCGTCATGAGAGCGAATAAAACCATATTGATTTTGATGAACAACTCTCAAGATGACAGCCTGCAATCTCTCAGCTAGAATCTTGGTGATGACCTTGAGCGAGATGTTCATTAGGGAGATGGGGCGAAAATCATTTACTGTCTCTGGACTGTCCTTTTTAGGAACCAGGGTGATATAAGAAGTGTTGATGCATTCAAGATTAATCTGACCCGAGAAGAACTTTGAGCAAATTGAAGGAGATGAAACTAACTGCTGCAATGCAGGTTTTAGAAGTTCGTCCAGTGATAGACTGGAACAAGGGGAAGGCTGTGGAGTTCTTGCTGGACTCCCTTGGGCTAGCTGACTCTGACGAAGTGCTCCCATCTACATCGGAGATGACCGAACAGATGAGGACGCGTTCCAAGGTCCGTGGTTTGGTGTAGATGCAGAAAATCCAACCCTTTTTTCATGGATATGGACTTGATGGTTTAAATCTGCAGGTTTTACGGGGAGACAAACGGGGTTTTGGAATTTTGGTGTCATCTGTACCAAAGGAATCTCACGCCTTGTACTCCCTGGTGGATCCAACTGAGGTAAATTCATGATTTGCGCAGGGCTGACTGTATCACTTACTGCACAACAATCTATATAATAATTGGATTGCTTTGTTCTCCGCCATATATCAAACTTTACACGATGCATTAGTTTTCAGGGAAAAAAACAACTGTTTGTATTCAGATACTGTACTCTGTGCCATTCCAATTGTAGGTGATGGACTTCCTGAAGAGACTAGTGAAATGGAAGGAGGAAGAAGCATAACGAATAACAATGAAGTAGTTGTTAATTAGCCTATTCGGCAGGACTGAAAATAAGCCAAAATACTGTTCCGACTGATTGCTGTGAGAGGAAATGCTGTTCTATCTAGAAACACTGTTCACGTGAACAGTGCTTTCGTGAGTGGGCTGGGCAGCCAGCCAGCCGAACACCCTCAATATCTGTTGATGATTTTAGGGTTAATCTCTGACAAAGAGGACTAGGGAACTCAACTGCACCTGATGTCAATTCTACAGTCTGTAGCCAATCACTTTATTGTAGCCTGGTAATCCATTACTGCATTGTATATCGTCATGTCAAAGAATCTAAAGCATTCTGTGCCAGTAAGTGATATGAACGACAACCATCATCAATTAATTAAGCATTATGTTTGAAGGAGTTTCTAAGTTATTCTCGGTTTAAAGATTGTCGAATGTCTTCACAGAAAAATCCCTTGCAAATTATACGATGAAAACAAAACAAGCATTATTGTTTTGAATATTGAGTAAAAGTAGCTCAAACTACACCAAACACATTTTTACAGGATGTGAAAAAGTAAAGGACAAAAAAAAGAAACTTCCTCCAATTTGCACCTTCATCATAGATATTATTCTGCTAAATGGTAAACCTTTCCTGTTCAAGTCAAAGCACAAAATGGCCTCCTTTTAAGCCCAAGTATCCAGCATACCTCAGTTTTATGCCTTCTTATTAATCAAGGGATCAACAATGACTCTGAGGTTTGAAATCTGGTTTCAAGTACTCTGAGAGCAAGGAAGACATCTCATAACGAGCAGTCATGCGGAAGGCCCACTTGTCTTTGATCTGGCGGCATAGGTTGAGGTCCATATCGGAGATGATCAAGCCATCTCGGTAGCGTGATAGAGATGGGGTGCAAGAGGCATCAGAATTAGAAAATGGCTAGATCCATAGAAATGGCCAAAGTCTGCATGTTGAGGTTTCCATCACCAGATGAATGGATTTGGGAACACTTCTGTGCCAACCCATTAATTGATCCAATTAAGTAGTTGTTTGCAATGTGCGGCATTCCTTGCCTGAAGTAGCAAAAAAAAATAATCATGCACCCCAAATGTTACATATGCATGTATAAAAAAAAGTTCTATAGCATACAAAAGAGCATATGGATTTGTCTTACTCAATTGGCCACATTGGTTCACTGAGTTCACCAACAGTCGCAGATGGGTTGAACACTATTTCAGCTCCATTGAGCCAAATGCAAGCCAATTAAAGGGGATGATGTCTTCCATAACAAAATGTTCACTCCTATTTTTTCCGCAAGTTGTTTCAAACACTGGATGGCCCAGTGTTACCCCTCCATGTAGTATGTGCTCTCATTGAAATCACCAGCTCTTGGAATGTGATTCTACAGTAGCGTTTACTAAAGACACTGTAAAAGCTTTCTGA